GGTACGTGTACAACCTGTTCACCTTGTGTTGGATTTGGTTGTTGTTCAATTTGGTTTGGAACTGGTTCATTAACCTGTTCCTGAACTTCACTTAGTTCTTGAACTTCAACCGTTGAAGATGGAAACTTCCTTGGCAACTTCAAAACATCCAATAAAGGTTCTTCAACTTGGGTCTCATGATCTTTATTTTGTGTCGATTCATTATTTTCTTGAACTTCATCAAGTTCTATTTCTCCATCGCAATTTCCTTCTAAAAGAAATTCCCTTTCCAAAAAGGTTGCTCCTCTGGCCACAAACACTTTATGGTCAGAAGGGTGATAGAAATAATATCCCATTGTTTCCTTGGGATACCCAATGAACCTACACTTATCAGATCTTGAGTCAAGTTTATCAGACTGTAGTCTCTTAACATAAGCTGGACAACCCCAAACTTTAATATGTTTAAGGTTAGGCTAACATCCTTTCCATATCTCATATGGTGTTATAGAGACTGACTTAGTGGGAACTTTATTAAGTAAGTATGTTGCTGCTTCCAAAGCATATCCCCATAAATTTATTGGAAGATCAGTGAACCCCATCATAGATCTCACCATATCTAATAAGGTTCGATTTCTCCTTTCAGACACACCATTGTGTTGTGGTGTTCCTGGAGGTGTCCACTGTGAGAGAATCCCATTCTCTTTGAGATATCTGGTAAAATCTTCACTAAGATATTCTCCACCTCTATCAGACCTTAGTACTTTGATACTTTTACCAGTCTGCTTCTCAACTTCACTACGGAACCTCTTGAACATTTCAAAAGATTCATATTTGTGTTTCATAAGATACACAAATCCATATCTTGACATGTCATTAGTGAAGGTGATGAAGTAAGAATATCCACCTCTAGCTTGAATTTTCATGGGCCCACAAACATCTGTATGAATTAGTCCCACTAATTCAGAAGCTCTTTCTCCACTTCCAGTAAATGGAGATTTGGTCATTTTTCCTTTGAGACAAGATTCACAAGTTGGATATGATTCAAAATCATACTTGTCAAGATACCCTTCCTTGTATAACTTGTTAATTCTTTTCTCTCCTATATGACCAAGCCTACAATGCCAAAGGTATGTTTGATTTACATGATCATCTCTTTTCCTCTTAAGACTTGAAACATGCATAATAGAATTAGCATTCACATTAGGTAAGACATAAACGTCATGTTGGAGATAGCCATTCACATATAAATTATCACTACAATAAATATAGAAAATACCATTGCCTATATTAATGCGAAAACCACGTTTGTCCAACATAGAAGCTGAAATTATATTCGAAACAAATTTAGGAACGTAATAACAATCATCCAACATAAGTACTTTGCCCGTAGGCATTATTAAAGAAATTGATCCTACAGCTACAGCTGCAACTTTTGCACCATTTCCAACTTGTAGATTAACTTCTCCTTTCTTTAGCCTCCTACTTATCTTAAACCCTTGCAACATATTACAGATGTTATAACCACTGCCAGTATCTAACACCCACAGTGAAGAATTAGTAGTAGCTAAAGAAATCTTGAAAACATTTTTCATTAATGTCTCACCTTGTTTCTTGTCCTTTAGAGTTGCAAGATACTCCTTGCAGTTTCTCTTCCAATGCCCTTTCTTCTTACAGTGAAAACATTCAGCATCATATACTGACTGCAAGATCAAATCTTCAGAAAGCTCTTTACCAAGCATGTACCCCAACTTCCCATATTCTTCAGTAAGAACAATCATATTATTGACAAGGGGTCCAACTGGAGAGTTTTCAATGTCCAACTGTGTATCAACCATCTTCTTAAGATATTCAATGATTGCAGTTGGATCCATATTCTGATGTTTCCTCTAGAGTTCAGAACTCATAGAAGCGAGAATGATGTGTTTAATAGCAAGGCATTCTTCCAAGTATTTCTGATAAACCTCGGTGCCTTGAACATCATTCTCTGGTGGGATTATCTTTGCAGGCTTATCGATCACACCAATAAGCTTTTCATACATGAGAACAATTCTCAAATTTCTATACCAGTCATCAAAGTTTGGTCCTACCAACTTGTTGGTCTCAAGTATTTCACGCAGTGATATAACAGACATATTGAGAAATCTAAAATGTAGAAAAGAAAAGGCAATAATATAAGAACATATTCGCATATATCATAAAGACATGGACTTTATCTAAATGATATTTCCACTAATTATTTTAAACTATTTACCCTCATTATAGTTTACGAAATCTTTATTTCTGTTAGTGGAGTAAAGGAATCCTTTAACAATATGTATGAGCCCCTTGGAAGTCAAGTCGTTTCTCACATATATTTTAAAGGTAGGTACTCTTACCAATTGTATCCCCATACAATTTTCTTAAATAGCTCTATGTCAAATAGTCCCCTGGTAGTCAGGTCGATCCTATTGGCATAGTTGAGTTCAACCATCATGATAGCAAAGAACTGATTAAATTTTATACTCCCCCGGGTAGTCCAGGCGTCTAGTGTAAAATTGAATAGTTCTTTCAATCCATACATCTAATGCAATAAATAATTATAACATATTCTCGAACTACAAGTCTCCTGGTAGTCAGGCTGCTCCTTATAAACAAGAAATAAGTAAAATTATTTACCTTGATGGATAGCTCTATAATAAAATATCTTATATTTTATTATTTAAGAACTCAAATTTTAGTAAGAGGGAATTGTTACTAAAACAATTTTTAGTAACATGAAGATCAAATCTTTTATAGCATGTGAATTTAGTTCAAGTTGTCTACATGCTTAGTCCTAAATTAATTTACATCACATGTAATAAATAATTCAAAATAATGTAATGAACAAGCACATGACATAAAAACGAAATTCGACATCCTCTAACATGTTTATCTTATATATTATATAAAAAGAATTCATGCTAGAATATTATTATTAATTAACATCTCATGAACTAATAACAATTAAAAATAACAATAGAATCATGTAATCTATTATAGATTCCCATCGTATCTAATACAAAATTTCAAATTCAAGTTATGAACTATGTCAATAGTTATATCAATATATATTTTATCTACAATAAGATAATATCAACATTCAAACGATTTGACTATTGCACAAGACACATGTATTATGGTTTGAACTCTTCAAATATAATATTAAAATATTTCGTAAATAAATTTTAGACACAATAAACCACGGTTCTGATACCACTGAAGGATTGCGTATAGGTGTTCGTAACACGCAGCGGAAGACAATAACAATCCTAGGCAGATTTTTTCGTGTTTAAAATTTATTTACATGTCAATAGATCGGATCTAAGACGTACCTGGTGAAGAAAGTCTTGTTTCAAAATTTCTTCGATAGTGCGAAGACTCTATGCATATCCACACCGAGACCGGTCCTTGCTATCAACTCTTTGATCAATGAAATCCGCAAACAAATTCAACCGAAGAACTTATGCTGAAATTTTCTCAAAACTCCAGCAAATAATAAGATATATCTCTTAGTTTTTAATCACACACTTTCACAAAGTGTATTATCAATCAACCACCCACGGAACTTTTCCATGACCCCTTTTATATCATCACCTAAACCTTTTTCCTATTGGTTAAGGTAGTGAATTACCTTGGGTACAAGTCGAGTTCCAAAAATAGACTTCATAAAAAGTTTTCCATTGGAAAATTCTTATCCCATTCCTAATGGGATCATATGCACGTCGGCGGCAGCTAGTCCTTTATGGACTTTAATACGTGAATCCAATTTCATATTGGATTTCACTAATAAGTTCCATCACTTTTTTTATTAATATTTTATATAACATATCTTATATAAAATAAGTACTAATTATATATCAATCACACACACACACACACACACACACACACATATATATATATATATATATATATATATATATTTGTGTTAACCAAGAGATATAATTTAATTTTCTATTCCAAATAGAAAACTTCAATTTGTTCACAATAATAATTATATCCTCTGTGCTAGCAAAGAATATAACAATATTTCATTTGGACTAATAACTAAATTTATTTGACTAATTAAATTCTACAATTTAATTATCAAATAATAAGTTAATTAATCCTTTAGCAAAGATCAGAACACTCGTAAGTGTGCGACCCCATAGGTTCAATACTAAACCGGTAGTAAATTGATCACATCAATATACTAATCAAGGGTGGCGTCTAGCAACACTCCTTAACGACCAAATAGAATGAAGTATACAATTTACTCTCAAGAACCAATAGAAGAATAATGTAGTAATTCCTTCTATCCTTATAGCTCTGGATCACCCTAGGATATGGTTCAACTGTCAAATCCTAATAGGCGACCAACTATGTGTCCATGTCAAATATAATCGAGCATTGAATGACCTAAGAAACTCTTTTCTTCTTTTCATTCAATTGCCCTTGCCAAGGTTTTAATTTGGTCGTTTATAATTCATGACAACATGGAGCTTAAACTCATTACAAAGAGTTGACAGATTCCATCTTGATCAATCACTAATTCTACAAGTGTTCAATCGTACCCAATATCCTTTCAACTATCGCCCTAGGGCCATAGGTGTCTAGTATTAAAGCACAACAAATAACTTGTCAATTACTATGACGATCTCAGGTCAAAGGAAACTTTTACATCACATTCTTCAAGAGAATATCCTATTGACAGTTTATGGTAATTCTAACCATTAGGAATTATCCAATGAGTCGGTTCAATGATCATATCTCTATATGCATCATCTATCTATGTAATTTAATTAATGAGATCAACTAATTTTTATCCCATAAAGACGATCACATAAATATTGATCTAACCGGATTACTAATGTCCAAATTAATAATCCTACGATCAAGAACAAATTTAGATTAAATTATAAGAAACTTTACTCTCATTATCATGATCTCCATCACAATATCAAGTCTCAAAATTTAATCAAGGACCTTATCAAATTAATCAAGCAATTAATAACAATGATAAAAGAATATCAAATGCCATATATATTCTATATCAAATAATGTTCACAAAAAATATGTTCAGATCATCAAATATGATATTGGATCTAGGGCATATCTATTATATCCCTAACAGTCATATCCTATTTTTCTTGTAGTGATGCAAGCCCACCTTTTTTTGTGATGCAAGAACTGTCAAAGGATGTAAATGGAGCTTATCATTCCAAGAAGTCATTAGATACTACGGCATGTAATAGACTTAGATCGTTAGGAAACCAGAATTTAACTGGTGATGGACCACCAATGTGTGGCAAATTTTCAAGTACTTGTAACAACCTCAACTTTGATCCTTCTGTCAGTATTAAAATGGTTGGAAACAATGCTCTAGATTTGACTTGAAGTTGTGGGAATCGCATTCCAATTGGTTCCACCATTCTGATCGTCCTTCTATTACTTTGATGTTGTTGGAGGTTTGAATAGAGAGAGGCAATTTCTTTATTTGATTGCATCTTATCAAACTAAGTTCCTCCAGGTGTTCCCACATATTCGGTGGCTCGCCTAGAGTTCCTACTTTTGGACAGCCTTTCAACAGTAACTTCCGAACTCTTGGAATTTTTGAGCCGCATTGCACAAACAACTCTACCAGCTCATCACAATCGGTAATTGCAATATGTTCCAGGTGATTCGGTACAGAAAAAGCTCCACCAATGTTAAAGAGACATCTCAATCTTGGACACAAGGAAATATCTAGTCTGCGTAATTTAGAAAATCTTAGACCCAGAAGATGACTGATATCAGATACACTCTCTAAATTATTTATCAAGATGAGGCAGAGATGTTCCAGGTTTGGCAGAGGGTTAAACCGTCCACTTCCTTCTTCTGCTAGTTTGAAATCACAAGAAGAGATACTTACTATAAGTTCTTTTATTCCATTAAAACTGTTGTACGCAATCAACTTCTTGAGACCCTTGCAGTCGTCCAAGCGCAAATTTGAAGCAAACTGCAACATACCTGAGAGCTCTCCCTTACTGAAAATTTCACACTTGGAGATAGCTATTTTCGCTGGTTTCCCTAGTGAGGTGTTGAAATCTATAGGAATTCGAGGTTCCCCAACAACAATGCGAAATCTTTTCAATCTAGACATCCAGGTGTGGTCTCTATTAGAAACTGATGAGCTATCCAATTTGATGGAAAGAGAGGTCAGCTTCTGTAGAGAGGACAGCTCATCAAAACAAGTTGATTCAAGACGGCTACCCAGCACATCTATCATTTCCATGCTAGCCAATTTGAAAAGAATTCCTTGGTCGATGCTCTCCAATTCATTTGCAGTTAAACGCCTCAGGTCTGTCAACCTGTCCATTCCTTGCGGCAGACGATGTAACCTTGTTCTAGCACAATCGACAATTGCAAATTGCAAAGATTACCAATAGGTGGTAACTCTGTCAACCGGCGGCAACCTATTAGTATTAGAGCACGTAATTGATATAAACTATTGATGGAAGAAGGCAGTGCTCTAATAGAAGTTTGACTCAGATTCAAAACTCTTAGGGCTGGAAATGCAAGAAAAAGTTGATGGGGAATATTTTGAAGGGGATGATTATCTTGCAAAAGTAAAGTTGTTGTCTCTGGGCATTCCATGAAGGAATGAGGTAGACGTTTAATTTTGTTGCTTACAAAAGACATTCTCTTGACAGAAGCTGACATTTTAATATGTGATATCTCAGACAACCCAAGTCCAGCTTGAATAAGAGAATTGTGCTCATCCCCCAAGGAATTAGCTATCCATATAGCAACATCACGAACCACGAGTTCAACGTATGGGTTTCTAGCAAGCAGACATCTTTTAGACTCTCAATCATTGTGATTCCCCTGTTGTAGGCTTCTTCATATGTATCATGTTCACCAAGGAACCCCTCGGCCAACCAGCAATGTATGATGGCCGCTGGATATAAGGAGCAATACAAGAAACAACTTTGAATGTCGCCTCCCCTTTTGTTCACATGTTTGCTTCTTTGCTCTGAGGATAATTCAATATCTTGAGATTCCAAAGAATCAAAACTCCACTTGATAACCTTGTAAACCTTATCTTTTACATCTTTGTTGTGAGGTTCGGACACATCCCAAAGCATCTTTCCAAAGCTCGACCCTCTTCTTCCCTGTCATAGATGCTCAGATAACAGTGATTGCTAAAGGTAATCCATTGCACTCCCTTGCAATTTCCTTTGCAACTGGTTGAATATGCTCCAGATTGGCAATATCTCCCGCATTTTTGACAAACATTTGCCAAGATTCATCTTCATCAAATGTCAACACCTTCATTTCGGTGTCTGTTTTCATTTGCCTACAAACATCAACAAAACGACAAGTTAAAATTACCTTGCTTCTTGCGGGATCTTCAGGTTGGGGCACACCTACATGATCCAAACTTATAGCTTGCCAAACATCATCGAGTATAAGAAGGAAACTCTTTTCTTCCCTGAGCCTCTGATGAATTCTGCTTGCAATGCGTTCTACGCTTTCCTCAGTGTCTACCTTTAGGTTAAATCTGTTGGCAATTTGTGCTTGAACCTTTCTTATGTCTATTGGTGGTTTGGGCACTGTAACCCATACCACAACACTAAAAGACAGTTTAGAGCTTGACGCGGCAGTCTTTAGGAGCTCATTGTTCAGATTCTTCACCAAAGTCGTTTTGCCGATTCCTCCCATACCCCATACACCAATGATGCCTACCTGAAAGGATTCAAATTACCCAAAAAGAAATTTACCCTCAAGTCATGGATGGAAAATTTGTTATAAAGAAGAATTTTAGCAAACTAGAGAAGAAGGGCTTTGATCATAATTAATTTACCTTATCATCTTCTAAGAGTTGTAGGATTTTGTTGAGATTTCTTGTTGCTGTTGACTGGCCTTCTATTGATGGTCCTGGGATGTACTCCACTTTTTTCACCTGGTAATTTTCTACCACCAAACTGGATCCAAAATTTTGTCCCATTTTTTTTAAGGTCGCAAAGTTGATCTCGCATGATTCGTGCTTGAGTGGAGACTTGCGAGCGAAGACTGCAATTTGGACAACATTTATATGCAACCATCTGAATGTCTTGTTGCATAGATTCCCAGTCAGTCTCCAGGTTTTGAACATGTTGGAGCCACTTGAGAACATCTGGTTTTGGTTTATAGCCTTCTCCCTCAGCTCCTTCCACCTTCCCTTTGATATATCTCTAAACTTTGTTAGCTTCTCCATTTCCTCTCTTACACTTTGAACATTTGATGTGAAACGGACGGTATTTTCAATCTTAGGATAGATGCATTTGCACACCAACTTCCCCACCTCAACAACAAAACCAGCTACTGCATTAAAAATTATTTCCATCGAGACTAAACTAACTGTTTCTTCTATGCTTAAGGCAGAAATCTGATCGAGAACAAGAACAAAAAGGATACAAGGCAAAATCAATTATTGGAGGGGCAACGTGTGGCCATGCATTAATCTCAAGAATAAGATGACTTTTGACTGAGGGTTCCTTATCTCCTTGACTCAATTATATTGGTCCAAAAGATAGATACCTCCTTTAATATAACATATATCATATAGTGTTTACCTCAAAAATACGAGTAACAATTAAACTTGTTTATGATTTTAAAGATATGTGATTTAGTTCAACACTAATTAATTACCAAGAAATCTAACGTATAAATGAAAGAAGTAAGTAAAATCAAACCAGTGTGCAAGCCAGTCGCGACCTCGAACTAAGGTGGCCTCGAGGTAGGTCAAGAACAATAAAGCAAGAACAACAAAATCAAAGGACAATTCTGATGAGTAATAAGCAAGAAAGTAAGAGAGTATATTCTTTTGCCAATGATTGATGATGGTTACAAATGATTGGGGTCCCCTTTTTATAGTAGGAGAACCCTAAATAAGGTACATTTCTATTTACAATAAGGAATCTTATTGGGACAGCTGTCTAACTGCCTAGTACGGATTCGTACTAACTCGTACAAATCTATTCCGTAATTTATGCCATGATCTTGGGGACGTGGCGGGAGTCTTGCTCTTTCTGTTACAAATCCAGAACGGCATCATCTCGGGGTTGGTCATACTTAGCTCCGATGTTCCTCGAGCACTTAGATCTTCGAGCCTCGTATTTTGCCTTCGAGCTCGAGCTCGGTCTATATTGAACCCGTTCTCATGCGAGCTCTCGAGCCTACAAAATCGGGGGCATATGATTTTGACTGTATACAGATAATCCCCGCGTTTCTTAGATTAAAATGATAAGAAGCGACTTGAGCCTCGATTTCTCTGGAGTCCTAGACGATGACGTCATTCCTGTGATGTTGACGCTCGAGGTGACCGAAACGTCCCGTAGGTTCTCTTCCCCAAAACATTAAATGCTTGACCAGTGGTGGTCGGCCATTAGCGTCGTCGAATCGTTGCTGCTTGCCTATAAATACAAGGTTCTTTTGAAAAAACTTTACTTCAATCTTCATTCCACCTCTAAACTCTTTTTATATCTCCCCCTCTTCGTCTCTTATTACTCTTTACCCTTGTTCTTTTAGTTCCAGAAAATATAAAACTCCGCCTATCTCCACTTCCTTTGTTTTGAATCAATGGCGAAAACTTGTAAAACCGTTCCTCAAAAAGAGAAAGATTCCTCCTCTTCTTCCCGGCCGGCCGGCGATAAAGCGCCGGCCCTTCATGAGATCATTCCCGGCCCTTGCATTATAAAGAAGGACTTTAGAGTAGAAAATCCCCCTGCTGTTCCTGGTCGATGCGAGTGTCACACCTCCTTTTTTACCACCCGAGAGGGGGTATTCTGTTCCTGGTCGATGCGAGTGTCACACCTCCTTTTTTACCACCCGAGAGGGGGTATAATAAAGGGAGTTTTTCCAATTAAAGGACAATCGAAACGGGATTATATTATTAAAGGATTCAGAGTCGCTACTTGGTATAATTTATGGTGTCCCAAGTCACCGATTTAAATCCCGAATCGAGTAAAAGATTGGCTCTGTATTACAGTCCGCGAACACAGAAATCCGGGTAAGGAATTCTGTTAACCCGGGAGAAGGTGTTAGGCATTCCCGAGTTCCGTGGTTCTAGCACGGTCGCTCAACTGTTATTATTGGCCTATTATCTGATTTTAGTACATGTTTTAGCCTATGGTTCAATTTTAACTTTATAACCGCTTTTGTTTAATTATTTTTTAGAAAGATTGCAACGTCATTTAAAATATGTTTCAAACCACGTCACATAAATGCACCCGCAGTCCATAACACATTTTATCTAACGTTGAGATTCGGATTTGGGTCACATAAATGCGCACCCGAGTTTAGGAAGTTACATTATTAAAATAATGCGCCTAAAGCAACTACGCGTTGTTAACTTTGCGAGGGCCATGAAAATTTGCTAAATGGCACGCCTCAAATTCTAAAAAAGGACTTCCCAAGTTGACTTAACGAATTGATTAATTACTTACGAAAGCTAATGGAGATTTCTATGTTTCAGTCTAAAGCAAAACATCTAAACTTAAAGGAGGATTCAGGTATGGGCTTATAAAGTCAAGCTGTCTTGGAGATAAATTGGGCCTGCACCAACCTCTAATTGAGATAACTTGGCAACAGACAAAAATGCAGGCCTAAACATGATGAACAAAGCTTTGCTCACAAACGGCTTAAGGCTTGGGCCTGGGGTGAGCCCAAGCTTTGCGTGGTAGCAGACTCGACTTCAAGTCTGAATGAAGTCTAAAAAGTCGAGCAGAGAACTTAAGCTTCGATTGGCCATTATAATTCAATTGAGTTCTCCAGACTGCTATTATAATTCCACATACAATCAATTTAACCAATAAACTAACAAAAACAGCACTATTCAGCATACATGAATTAATCCATGTTTCTCTATATCCCACTTTTGCCTTGACTCCTCATTCCCCAAACACTTCAGACCAGCAGTCAATTTTCAAAAAAAAAATGGATTATTCAACTACTTCTCTCAGCATCTAACCTCTAATATAACTTAATCTATCATTCAATAACATGAAGTCATGGACTCGTCATTATGCCACTACATTTAGATGGGTTGCGAAGAGACAAGAGATCTAACACCACATGCTTTATCTAACATTGCTTAATCACAGAATCTGGCCAAGGACCGATGTTCCCATCATATGAAGTTTTAAAGACTAAAACACCTAATCACCCCACATAAGAGCAGAATTTCAAATTATTTAACATCATAATTACAGTCTCAGTCCAGATTTACCAACTAAATTCAAACTGAATCATAGCTAAATACATGAACACATCCAAAGAGACTAAACTGACACATAATACAATATACTTGCTTAAAACTGGAGGTTAAACAAGATGATCACACTAAACGAGAAAATAAATCAGAGAAAATAAAAATGGGTCAGTTTCTATGCTTCAACTCTTCATTTTTAATTCATTCTTCAAGTTTCACTCCACAATCAAAGAGTTACAAGAGTCGTGTACCTGGAAGTAAGAGGAAAACAAGAAGGATAAGGTCTCAGCAGATGAATGAGTAGCAGCAGATCCCAGTAACAGGAGTAAACCAGCTAACCAATTTTAAACTCAGAAAATGAGGTACAGCTCCAGAAATACCAAATTGTACCAGAAACAGGGAGTGTGAAGCAGTAGAAACAGTCTTAATTGAACAAAACCAAGCAACTTTACCCCAAATTTTAAACACCCAAATTCAATCCAATCTAGATACCAGAATTAACAATCATTTCAGCAATCAAAACTTCAAAAATCGTAGAAAAATGTTCAATAGAACAGTGATTATTTGAACAATTCAGCCGTCCTTTGTTTTTCAGAATTTTTATCTCCCAATCCCTGAATTCAGCTCTTGTTAGCAATGCCGTTATAGGCAAGCTACTAGGGCAGCCTTAAGGGTTCATTTTGTGCTCTTTAGACCTTTCCAGTTTTATTTTTTGCTCAAAGGTCCCTAAATTTCCGACTTGCTTGCCAAGCAAGTCTGTTTTTCAGCTTCTAAGAAGCTTCCTTAGGTGGTTACCAAAAGATTCCCTAGCTGAACTACCCAAATTACCCCTGAACCCCTGGTTATTTACCTTCAGCAAATTCCAAACCCATAATGGGTCAAATTGACCCGATGGCCCAAACCGTTTGGACGGCTTACCTTTTTTCAAACAGGTCAAAAGCCCAAAACCCAGGCAAACCAGTCCAAACTAAAGTCTGAAATGCCAAAAACAAACAAACCTTGCAAAAATTAAGATCTAGACTAAACAATTTGTTAACTAGAATCAACTAAATTAGTAAACTAGGTTAATTAACAGCTAATTACACTGATTAAAAGAAAGCGTAAGACTAATCATGCAAGAACAAATTGCCCCGGAACAAATAAAAGGAAACACGAAGAAGAGAAGAAACACAGAAATAGAGAAAGAAAGAAAAATTGAAGAAAACCTAATACAAGAAAAAGAAAAATACCTAAAAAAAGGTGCTTCGGACAGTGAAAGTGGTGACGAACCTTCCAATTCTGAAATACTCGGCTTATTCTGAGATTAATCACGTGTTTTTCATCAAAACACGTGAATAAAACCAGAAGGAGCCTAAAATTTCCACAGAACTCTTGGATTAGAGAACTTTGGATTTTAGGGTTGAGTTTTGATTTAATACTCGAGCAATTCCAAGGGGATTTGGGAAGAATGGAGCGGGGATTTGGGATGGGGAGGTGGAGGAGAAGCAGTGGTGTTGATTTGTGGCATTTGGTGGTGGCGCCGCCACCGGGGAAACTGTGGCGGGGCTAGGGTTTGTCCCTTTGACCCAATATTTGAGGGGTTTTGGAGGGATTCGAGGGAAGGTGATCAGGAATTTGGAAAGAGGGGGTTGAGGGGAGTTCGTGGTGGGATTTTGAGCTGGTTTGGCCGCCGGCCGCCGCCATGGGCGATTTCCGGCGGGCGGCTGGCGGCGGTGGAAGGCGGAGATGACGAGGGAGTCCAAGGGTTGTGAGAGAGATTAGTTTAGGAGGGGGGGTGGTGGCCCAAGTGGGTTTTTTTTAAAGAACACATTCTTTTTCCCTTTCCTTTTTTTTTCAATTGTTTTCTCTTCTTTTTTTCTTTTTTCTTTTCAAAAATTGAAACCTAAATTAAATCCTAATACAAATTATCCCTACCTTATTGAATTAATTAACTCTAACTAATAATTACCACAATTAAAGAAAAAACTACCAAAGTTCAAAATTAAAATTAAAAAGTGCAAAAATAAACTATTTTTGTGATTTTCCTTTTTAAAAATAACTTAATTACTAATTAATTCTTAAAATGCAAAGTTAAATCCTAAATGCACATGCAACACATTTTTTGTATTTTTCATTAATTAAACAAAATTAACATGCACAGACAAATGTGAACACTTGACAGAAAATACCACAAAAATTCACAAGATTGCAAATAATGGAAAAATTATTTTGTTTTGAATTTATGGGAATAATTCATATAGGGCAAAAATCACGTGCTCACAGCGAGCATGTATCGAGGTACATTTGCTTGA